TTTTTATGTTAGGCCAGTCTCATCTATGCAATGAGCTGTTTTTGTAGTTGTAGCAAAGGCGAAGGGCGAGGTGAAGTTTATTTTGTGTCTTCAAAGTTTCATGTGTGTGTTTGTTAACTCACACAGTTAGGCATATCATGTATTGTAAACTCTCTCTCTCTCTCTCTCTCTCTCTCTCTCTCTCTCTCTCTCTCTCTCTCTCTCTCTCTCTCTCTCTCTCTCTCTCTCTCTCTCTTTCTCTCTCTCTCTGAGATATAATGTCTGCGTGTCTCTGTTTGTCGGCTCTGTGGCTAAGTCGATGCGAACACTTCGCTTCGTAATGCCGGGATGCCGGGTTCGATCCCAGCTGCGGGCAATGCGCCTTGCGTTGGTTTCGACAGTGGTATCAAGAAAGCCGACCGTCCAGAAGCAATGGCAAACTACTGGACGTAATTTGCCTAGAGAAACCACACAACAGCCAGGGGCTGTTAGGGTTGGTTCTGCAACGTCCTGTAAAGGATACGCAACAACCAAAGTGTCTCTGTTTGTGTCGGTTTAAGCGTCTACGTGTATGTCTGTGTGTATGTGTGAGTGTTGCGTATGTTTATGTGTGTGTCTGTGTGTTTCCCTGCCTGCCTGTGTGTGTGTGTGTGTGTGTGTGTTTGTATGTGTGCCTATGACTGCATGTGTGTGTGTCTTGTTGGGTTATGTCTGTGTGCGCCGGTGTGTGTGTTTGTATGGGCCTTTTTGTGCGGCTATGCGTGTATATGTATGTGTGTATATCTGTTTGGGTCTGTATGTGTCTGGGTTGTATGCGTGTGTGTTTAAGAGCGTGTGACTGTGTGTATGAGTGTGTGTGTGTGTATATATATATATATATATATATATATATATGTATTATGTATGTATGTATGTGTGTATGTATGTGTGTATGTATGTGTGTGTGCTCGTATGTATGTGGATGTATGTGTGTATTGGGTATGTGTGTAAGTGAGTGAATGGGTTTGCGAGTGTATATGGGTGTGTGTGTTCGCGCGCGAGCGTGCGCACTTATTTTACTATAAATAAACTTCTTTCTATGAGTGCCGTTCACAACACTTTCTGTTACTTGATTAATTCATAATATTTAACGGCCTCAAAGGTTCCCCCTCTGTTTATTTATAGAAATGACGTATACACACCGGAACCTATTAATCAAATACCTTTCTTAAATGTTTGTGTATTCTAGACAAGGCAATAAGGTCTACTGTGTTCGTAAATTGTTGCTGTGATTGTTATTCGACATTTGCTTCGTTAATATAAATTTCTGTAACCTATGGTGCCATTTCAAGGGTTGAAATGAATTCTGTCCGTATTCCATAGTCGTGGATTTCAAGCTGTACGATAGACATGGCCAATGAGACACCTTTTTTTGGGGGTGCCTAGTTGACCATGTGTCTTAGTGCACTTGTATTTATGGCGAGGCGCAGACGCCGTCTGGAGGTGACAGGTTCAATTCCCGGCACGGTAACTATAGCTTTCTATTTTTATGTTGTCTAGTGTGTTCTTCTATCTTTCTACTTCTTTCTATGAGTGCCGTTCACAATTCTTTCTGTTACTTGATTAATACAGAATAGAACACAATGACGGGAACAGTTTAGACGCTGTCCCTAGAGAAGATGTCCCTAGAGAAGATGTCCCTACAGAAGATGTCCCTAGAGAAGATGTCCCTAGAGAAGATGTCCCTAGAGAAGATGTCCCTAGAGAAGATGTCCCTAGAGAAGATGTCCCTAGAGAAGATGTCCCTAGAGAAGATGTCCCTACAGAAGATGTCCCTAGAGAAGATGTCCCTACAGAAGACAATATTACTTGAGATATAACGTGCATTAGATCTGGGAAAACGCAGGATAAGCTTTGAACCTCAGCGCTGTTGAATGTAGAATTGAAGAAAATTAATTTATGATTTGTTGTTACGAGACAAGACATACGATCTTCCAAACCGTCACAATGTTCTATATATATATTACTCCATGTGTCTGATATTTGTTTTTTCAAATCTTGTTCTTGTTCGCTTTGTCGGTCACTCCCTTTCTCCCCCTTCCCTCCTTTCCTTTAGTTTTTCCTTTCTTCTCAACTCTCTTCATCAAACTTATTACTTCATTTCGTATTTCTCTTGCTCCCTCACCTTCTCACCCTTTCTCTTTCGAACTCTTCCTTACTCGTTCCACCCCCTCCCCATTTTCCCCCCTCCCTCTCACTTTGTTTCATTTCTTTCATTCTACTGATATGATTGGCAACCTTTAACACTCTTTGTTTTGGATGTCGTCAGTTTTCGCGCATATTCGGGAAGCTCTAATTTAAATGCGATAAAACCAAGTGCATGCACAGAATTGGAAATGAACAAAATCATATTTATAAAGACCGTTGTTAGAGAAGCCTAAAATACCTTAGAGATTACCAGCATTATTTCTCTGGTAACTTCCGGTATGAGAGTTGACCTCAGCTCTGCCGCACATGGGATTCTACGTAATTTCCGAATTTGCCGGAAAAGCGTGTTTTGTTGAAAGAAAAAAGATAATAAAATGAAAGAAAATGTCTTTCGCGAGGGCTCTCAGTCAAAACTTATACCATACAAATTAACCGACTCCATTCGCAACACTGTCACCGGGAAACAATAATATAAAAGTTAATTGCGGATCAGCATGTCGCAGAGACAGAACTTGCTGGCTGTTTGAGTTTTACAAGGCAATTTTAAGTTCAGTAGTTTGCCATTGCTACTGAACAATCTGCTCTCCATGGCGCTACTATATCGCCCGCATCTGGAATCGAACTGGGCAGCTCGGAGTTATAGACATCGTATTATTTGTGTTCCTATTTTCAACTAAAAGAAGCACTTGAACATTCCACATTGATTAGAGTGATTACACTTAGAATGATGCTGTCAATGCCAAACGTGGACACTTACATCCTCCAATGAACGTAAAATTGTGACAATAGAGATGAAATGCCTTAGAAGAGCTGCAGGAGTTTCAAGGAAAGACAGAATACGAAATCATGAAATCAGACGAATGCTAGGAATAAAGCTAGTCTTACAGGTTATCAAAGAACAACAAATGAAGTGATTTGGACACCTAACAAGAATGCCCTGGTACTATCTGCCACAGCGAGCCACACTAAAACGTTACAACTGGTATAGAGCGAGTGAAAGACCTCGGAAAATATGGAGTGATGGCATTAAAAAACAGCCTTGCAGAAATAAACATCAGTCTTAATAGTGCTCTTGACAGAGCTCATCAACGAACATTACATCTCCCCCCGACACTTCGATGAGGTACAAGGTGGAAGAGAAGAAAAAGAAGAAGACGCCTAGAATGAAGCACACGCCCCTTCTGTGTTTCCCCGTTCCATTGTGGGGGAAATAAGAACAACATCCCTTTTCTCACCAACAAACACGTCGTAAAAGTGCACTGACCGGGTGGGGGAGTGGGGGTGGGGGAGAGGGGTTTGGGCACTTCTTTTGAAGTCAGAGTGCATCTGCGTAACCTTTCATCATGCACCCTTTGTTACCGAAACGTTTTTTCCTCAACATTCTTCTAGGCTTCGTTTGAAATTTGTCTTTTCCCATCGGGCTTTGTGTATCCCACGTTGCATATAATTGAGCAGCATGCTGTGTACGTAAGCTGGGTGTTTGTCTGTGGTCTTATCATAGCCTTACCCTAATTGGATCATGACATAATGTATTTTTTGCGTGTGCTTCAGAAACAAGTTTGTGTCCATTGCCCACCTGATATTTATACAGGTGCCTCCTTCTTGCCCACCTTTGTTACATACATATCAGTACAGGTTTTCCCACTATACGACCCCCCCCCCCCCCCCAAAACCTTTTTATGGGGAGTTTGGAATTTAAAATTCTTATTAACAAGAATGTCCTTTTATGTACTATGATAAGCAAGTCGTAAAATGTAGTCATTGTCATTATATTATACGTACTAGGATTTGATTTTCTCAGCAACAGAGCAGTCGTGGTGCAGACTGACAGTGGTGGGAGAGTTGTTTAATAGGAGAGCTTCAGGCTTTGCCACGTAATATCCCAGACACAACAGAAGATGCACTGCAGCCAAACATTGTGGAGGCAACGGATATTGTTTTTCTAAAGGCAGTTACTTACTCTCTCCTTCTTCTTAGCGTTCACCGTCTGTCAACTCCGGCTGGTTGTTCGTCCATTACTGCACTTTGGTCTTGATCTGGAACTTGAGCTTCGCATGAGTATACATTTACAGATGTGGCTTTATTGTATGCAGACTGTTGGTTCCTTGTCTCTTAGGCAGATCGACTCACACTTTGAAGGAAACAGTCCTAATTAGTCTCCTCCTACGACATGCTTGCTAAGAGGCAGTAAGATTATTCTTTGTTCTGCAAACTTGTGCCCCTGAAAGCACATGAGGAAATCCTTTCCTGAAATCGGACATGTGAGATAAAATAGTTGAGTTGAACTGAGTCAAGAATTGACATCACAGCAGTCGGGGCATTCCCATATGTGCTCCGTCCCCAGGTTGAGCAGCCAGCGCAGAGTACCAATACTAATGGTAACAGTCTGGTTATATGTCCGCCTCACCTTTGCTGTGATGCATTGACGCGGCCAGACCCTCTAGTCACACCCAGGTGCAACATTCTCTCCATGCCATAATAATCCAGTTTCTCTTCTGACTTCGTTACCTGTTCCCAAAGGGCTCTGACCACATCTATTATTGTCACTAAAACTACTGAGTACGTACTCTGCGCTTGACGTCATCTTCAGCGAGCAGCGAAGAGAGAGAGAAAGAGAGAGAGAGATAGAGAGAGAGAGAGAGAGAGAGAGAGAGAGAGAGAGAGAGAGAATAGCCAGCAGTAAAAAGCAACACAAATCCCTCTTAAAGGCGAACAAAGAAGAGAAAGGCACAGCACACTACAGATTTTGTGCATCAGTAACAGGTAAATAAGAAGTTTAAAATTGTATGTTGAGATAGTTTACAAATACGTTTGTTTGTAATGGTTGTCTCCAGTACTGGCATGACTACCAACTGGGTTGGGAGCCAAACCTCTATGACAACATTGGCTCCATCAGGATCAAACCAGAAAAGGTCTGGGTTCCAGATTTTGTGCTGTTTAACAAGTAAGATTCACTGTTATAGTTAGAGTGTTGTCTGTACACTATTTATTAGCTATGGCTATCCTCACAGTCAGCTCTACACAGATTGAAAGACTTGAAAAGGTGCAAAATAAAGCCATGCGCATTATTATGGTATGTACAAGAGACACCTCCTGTCTAGCAGTGAGGTGTCTGCTTGACTTTCGAATCATGAATCAGAGGATTAGGTTCTTGAAGGCTCGTGCATACCTTAAAATAAGTGCTGCTAAAGAAAAAAATACCCATTGCATCAAGCGCTCTACACTAAAAAAAGCAAGAGGCTGAAGTGGTTTAAGTTATGGATTGGTCGGGCAGAAGATGTCATCAATCAAGTATGTAACCCAACCAGTATCACTCCTAGTGAAGCGTGGCTACCCGTGCCTCCTGCGTTTGATTGCAACTGTTCTTGTATTGTCACGCTCGACAAAAGATGTCATCAAGCAAGTATGTAACCCAACCAGTATCACTCCTAGTGAAGCGTGGATACCCGTGCCTCCTGCGTTTGATTGCAACTGTTCTTGTATTGTCACGCTCGACAAAAGATGTCATCAAGCAAGTATGTAACCCAACCAGTATCACTCCTAGTGAAGCGTGGATACCCGTGCCTCCTGCGTTTGATTGCAACTGTTCTTGTATTGTCACGCTCGACAAAAGATGTCATCAAGCAAGTATGTAACCCAACCAGTATCACTCATAGTGAAGCGTGGATACCCGTGCCTCCCGTGTTAAATTGCAACTTTTCTTGTCTTGTCACGCTCGACATAAGATGCAGGGACCAGAATGATGTTGTTGTCAATGCAGAGGTTCAACGCTCTTATCAGCGATAACTCCGACGAAGCAGATGTACTGATCTACATACACGGATCTGTTATACAACAACAAAAAAGTGCATGGGCGTTCAAAGCACGCTCAGCGGGCAGAACAATCAAGGAAGCCAGCGGTGACTTCTCCATGACAACAAGCAGCATGACGATGGAGGTGATGGCGGTAACACAAGCATTCGCATGGCTAAGAACACAATAAGAAGAAGAAACTCCACAGGGAAGCATGTACACCAGAGGTCTACCAATCATCAGTAGAAGTTAACCTCTCGTCGACAAATGTTTCGGTCAACGAGCTCCTAGACATTCTCAGAGAGTGGGCCCACATGAGTTCATGAAGCTCAGGGTTGGTTTCCCCTGCTGCACGAAATTACCGGATGTTGTTCGGATAGGGACAAGACGAATTGGTGATTTTGCAGAAGGTTCTTTGAGATAAGAAGTCGTCGCGGTAGCATAATTAAAGCAGTCTACATACCTGAACGACCGAGTGGCAAGCTTACGATTGGTATACCAGACACATGTTGGACTTTGTTGGCAGGTGGCAGAGGGACACTGGCAGACAATTCAGACACGATGGACTTTCAAGGGATGAGAAATTCTTTTCCGCTAGACACCCGGACCAAGACTGTATCTGTGCATGTCTACATAGAGATTCCATGAGCATGAACCGAAAGATCCAAGCAGGTTCTGTGCGAAGGCAGTGGATTGAGCCATTACAAAAGTCCACTTTGCGTAACGTTGTCTCCATCTTCGTTCTGGGCACGCTGGCGTCGATGGAAACGAAAGGGCTGGCAAGTTGGCTGGATCCGCTATTCGCTGCTGAAGGTCTACCAATGGATCATGCTGATATTGTTAATGCCCTCAGAAAGGTGGGAAGGGTGGAGGACTTTCGAGACAGCGATTCCACATCGCTCACCAGAATGAAAGACTCGGGAAGTTAAGATCGGCATAGCCAAAAGCGAGAGATACACCGGGCACACAAAAAAAGGACATCAATTAACAAAGAACTAGAATTATTAGTCACAGGACGTGGATTCATACTGAGGGAAGGATCTGAGCACCTATGGACCTGTCTGGAGTGCAATGATCATATACCAACCAACTAACTTAACTAACTAACTAACTAACTAACTAACTAACTAACTAACTAACTAACTAACTAACTAACTAACTAACTAACTAACTAACTAACTAACTAACTAACTAACTAGCCAAATATTATCGACTGTACACACATCATGGATTAATATCGACTGTACACACATCATGGATTAATATCGACTGTACAAACATCATGAAATAAAATCGACTGTACAAACATCATGAATTAAATTCGACTGTACAAACATCAGGGATTAATATAAACTGTAAAAGCATCGTGGATCCATAATGTTTGTACTGTCGATATTATTACGCCAAGCCACACATGTGTCTTCTCACCACAAAACTTTCTCCGTCGTTGTCGACTCATCTGCCACTTAAAACCACTGCTGACATCACCGTCTTCACAATCATGGAAGTCATCATCATTCTTTTACTGCTACAACTACCAAGTATTACTAATTCAATTCAACATTTCGAACAAGTTTTTCTAATATTATTGCTTCTACTTCCCTAACGGATGTCTAGACCTTACTAGCACTACTCATACTACTACTACTAACCCTCCATTACTAAACTACTACTACTACTTATACTACTACTACTACTACTACTAATACTACTACTACGACTACTACTACTACTACTACTATACTACTAACTACTACTAACTACTAACTACTATTACTACGAACTACTACTACTACTATTACTACTACTACTAACTACTACTACTACTACTACTAACTACTACTACTTACTACTACTACTAACTACTACTACTACTACTAATAACTACTACTACTAACTACGGCTGCTATGAACATTACTAACTAACTAATACTACTACTACAACTACTACTACCTAACTACTACTACTACTACTAACGAACTAATATAACGAATACTACTACTTACTACAACTTAATAACTACTATACTAACTACTAACTAACTACTAAATCTAACTAACTAACTAACTAACTAACTACTAACTAACTAATACTACTGACTAACTAACTAAATAACTACTTCTGCTGCTGCTGCTGCCACTACTACCATTGCTGCTGCTGCTGCTACGCAGTTAAGTGGTGGCTGCAGCAAAGGACTGAGCACGCAAGGGAAAGCCCAGTGTATAGTGTCGATGTGATAACATAGCATAACAATACTACTACAACTACTACTTCTGCTACCACAGCCACCACCTCCACCACCACCTCCACCACCACCACCACCTCCACCACCACCACCTCCACCACCACCACCACCACCACCACCACCACCACCACCACCACCACCACCACCACCACCACCACCACCACCACCTCCACCACCACCACCACCACCTCCACCACCACCTCCACCACCTCCACCACCTCCACCACCTCCACTAACTAACTAACTAAATTTACTACTAACTAACTAACCAGCAACTAACTAACTAAATTAATTACTAACTAACCAAATTAACTAGCTAACTACGTAAACTATCGAAGTAATAATACATAATCTTCATTGCATGTGTTGTCAGTGCTTAGTTATAAAAAAATAAAAATAAAAATTCGCCTTATATTCCATTTTAACTCTAACTAACTGTCAGTTATTCACATACATTCGTCAACGCTGGTTCTGAATAATTATTATAAGCTTTCTTTCACGTCTCAGGTGAAATACGAATAGTGCATAGATTATTATTCATCATGTGAAATGCTACCTTTACATAAGCTATATTATATATATCAACCAGTGGTTGGCCGAAACGTTAGCATGCTAGTCTCTCTTGCAAGAGTTAGATTTGATCCTCGATAATGTGATAGAGATTATATATATGAGTGTGTGTATGTGTGTATGTATACACACACACACACACACACACACACACACACATATATCATCATCATCAGGTGCCTTGCCGACTGGCGTGGGCGATCATGCCTCTCCAAAATCTACGATCTCCTGCAGCATGCATCAGTTCTTGTGCCGACACACCTTCATGCCATGCAACAAGACTGTCAAGCATCTTCTCTCGCTGTCTTCCTCTATCTCTCCTTCCACATATCTTTCCAGTGGTCACAACATGTTCTGTTTTCCCTCTTCTCATAACATGGCCGAAAAAAAAATGATGACTGTCTCCTTCTGATGTCTGTGATAAGTTGTCTTCGGGCTACCGCCTCTTTCAAAACCTCTTGGTTGCTCTTTTTGGCTGTCCAAGGTATTCTAAGCATTATTCTGTAAAACCACATCTCTGAGGCCTCCAGAAATCGTTTGGCCTGCCTACCGATTGTCTAGGATTCACAGCCATATGTGAAAACTGGATGTATGTAGCAAGCAAGAATTCTTTTTCTAACTCTCAATGACAAGGATATATTGCACAACATTTTTTTCATTTTATAAAATGCAGTCTTCGTCTGTGCTATTCTATTTCTTATCTAAGTTATGCATCTTCCATCTGATGTTATCCATGTGCCCAGATACTTAAATTTCTGTACTTGTCCTAAAATAACACCATTGACTTTTTTTGCACATTTAGGAATAATTCGTTTCTTTGATACCATCAATACTTCTGTCTTCCCATTTTTCAAATTGAGGCCCATTCTTCCACTTTCTAACACCACAATGTCTATCATTTCCTGTAGTTCTTTCTGACTTGTTGCTATCAAGAGTGTGTCATCAGCATAACGTAAATTGTTTATATTGTGCCCACCAACCACAATTCCGGGCATATCAATTAAAGCTCTCATTATATATTCACTTGCAAAACTAAACAACCTAACCTGCTCAGTCCGAGGCGTCTACACTAGCCATGTAACGAAACATTCTTAGGCTCAAGACCATCCACGCAAGCGGCCTATACTGCTCTAAGAAGGTGGTAACGAAAGTTTAGCTTTTTAGCAGCCGAAATAAGGATTTCCCATAAGTTCCTTACATAGGAGAAATACCATAGTTTTGAGAAATCATTTCTGTGCGTGATCTTTCCTGCTGAAAAACACATAAAAGCACAACTAGTGATAAGCTTATAATGTCGTTGGTGGTATGTTAATTTTGCCGTGCATAGCAACTTAGGGAATAGCCTGTAGTTTACTGTTAACTGAATCTGTTTACATATTGTCAGAATCCTTTTATATCCACAGCGCTGATGGCAACTTTGAGGTCACCTACAAATCCAATTGCGTGCTGTACTCCTCGTCAGAGGTGAATTGGATCCCTCCAGCCATCTACCACAGCTCCTGCTCCATCGATGTCCGTTACTTCCCGTTTGACCAGCAGATCTGCGAGATGAAGTTCGGATCCTGGACACACAAGGGAAAGGCCTTGAAGTACAAGTTCTACAAAAACAGAAACAAATTAGATCTGGCAGATTATTTGAAAAGTGGCAGCTGGGACATCATCGACTGCCCGGGAAGAATTATCACCGTTAAAGATGAAGTTAGCGGCGAGGAAAAAGAACAGATTATCTTTCAGTTTGTACTACGGAGGAAGACACTTTTTTACACAGTCAACTTAATTATCCCGTGTGTACTGATTTCCTTTGTGACTGTCTACGTCTTTGCATTACCAGCCGACGCCGGGGAAAAGATCGCGCTGTGTATATCTCTCCTTCTAGCCCTAGTTGTGTTTTTACTTCTAGTGTCCAAAATTTTACCTCCATCTTTGACAATCCCTCTCATCGCTAAATATTTACTATTTACTTTCATTATGAACTTGGTAGCCATCTTTTATACCGTTGTAATTATCAACAGAAATTATAGAACTCCTCGAACGCATAGTATGCCTTACTGGGTCCGTGTGGTTTTCCTTAAAGAGCTGCCCAAGTATTTACTGATGACCAGACCAAATCATGACAAGAGATGGCAAGATGCTGTGATATCAGGTCCTTCTCTCCCGCCAACTCCAGAAACTCGTCGGATCAACTTAAACATTTCCAGTGACTTTGAACTGTCTGAAGTTCAAGGCGCTCGCTGTCAAGAGGTCACTGAATATCGTTACGGACTAACTCGACACAGGCATCCGAGCGAGCTTAGACCCACCCCGGGTGGCAGTTTGATGGAAGGAACCAGCCAGCAAGACAGCGAGGAGCATGCCGAGTTTGTAATGACACCCGAGTTGCGGAACACAGTTGAGTGTGTCACATTCATCTACACGCACCTCAAATCGGAAAAGGAATATGAAACAGTAGGTTCATGTGCTGGGTCTGCATAATTTATGTGTTTTTTTTTTTTTTTTTCTCCCCACAGGTTCATCATGTGACACGTGAGTGGCCGTGTTGTAGAGGCTCACCTGTTGACCAGAAGGTCGCCGTTCAAGTCCTGTCGGAGCTGGACTTTTTTATTTCTAAAAATGACTTTGGCTCCCAAGTAGACCTAGCCTCAAATGGGTAGCAAGTGAAGTCCTGGGAAGTAAAGGTGGCCGGCGTGATGCTGACCAGATCACCCAACAAGTGTCAATTGGTCTATAAAATATAGGCCTAGCCCTATAGAGGATATAAGAGCAGCAGCAGCATCAGCGGCAGTAGGATTAGTAGTAGTAGCAGCAGCAGAAGTAGTATTAGTTGTAGTAATGGTAGTAGCAGCAGCAGTAGTACTATAGTGTGTTTCGGGAGTCGTCCCCTCACACTTTAAAAAATATCTCGAGAATTCTTGTACCGGTCAACACTATTTTTTGTCCAGATGCTCTTAGATTTCTAATGTCTTTATATAATTCACTATTGCACAGGTGCTGTTTTCCTTCTAAGAGCCGTGAATTTATTTAATGCTTGACAAAAAAATGTGTGTACCTCTAAAAATTAGAATACACCCTACCTGACCCACGTGTGGAGGTTATTTGCAAATCATTAAACATGCGCAGAAGGCGTGATGATTTTTGATAGCCTAACCCGCATTCAATGAATAATCCACAACTCATGGGAGGGTAAGGATGGGGACGACCACCTAAGATGGAAACGCCTGTGAAACGCGTGCAATTTAATGTGTTGAAGAGTTCCTGTTACTCCGTTACTTCTAAGCATGTTGATTATTTGCTTTGAATCGCTGACAGTTTTTTATATAATTCAAAGAAGGTAAAAAGAATTCTAGATGTTTGATTGCAATAATAATAATAATAATAATAATAATAATATAATAAAAATAATATTATTCCAAGGAGACAATTATTAACAGATTGCATGCCAGCTGTCAACAACTGTCACTGAACGGTTAAAGAGTTACAGATTTTTAAAGTTGGACACCACTTCTGAAACGGACTTTAGTAAGAGTAATAGTAACAGCAGCAGCAGCAGTAGTAGTTGTTGTCGCTGTCGTAGTAATAGCAGTAATAGCAGCAGCAGTAGCAGTCGTCGTCGTCGTCGTCGTCGTCGTTCGTAGTAGTAGTAGTAGTAGTAGTAGTAGTAGTAGTAGTAGTAGTAGTAGTAGTAGTAGTAGTACTAGTAGTAGTAGTATAGTAGTTGTTGTAGCAGTAGTAGCAGTAGCAGCAGTAGCAGTCGTCGTCGTCGTCGTAGTAGTAGTAGTAGTAGTAGTAGTAGTAGTAGTAGTAGTAGTAGTAGTAGTAGTAGTAGTAGTAGTAGTAGTAGTAGTAGTAGCAGCAGAAGCAGCAGTAGCAGTCGTCGTCGTCGTCGTAGTAGTAGTAGTAACAGGAGTAGCAGTAGCAGTCGTCGTAGTAGTAGTAGTAGTGGTAGTAGTAGTAGTAGTAGCAGCAGCAGCAGTAGTAGTAGTAGTAGTAGTAGTAGTAGTAGTAGTAGTAGTAGTAGTAGTAGTAGTAGTAGTAGTAGCAGTAGCAATCGTCGTCGTCGTCGTCGTCGTAGTAGTAGTAGTAGTAGTAGTAGTAGTAGTAGTAGTAGTAGTAGTAGTAGTAGTAGTAGTAGTAGTAGTAGTAGTAGTAGCAGTAGTAGTAACAGGAGCAGCAGTAGCAGTCGTCGTCGTCGTCGTAGTAGTAGTAGTAGTAGTAGTAGTAGTAGTAGTAGTAGTAGTAGTAGTAGTAGTAGTAGTAGTAGTAGCAGCAGCAGCAGCAGTAGCAGCAGTAGCAGTCGTCGTCGTCGTCGTAGTAGTAGTAGTAGTAGTAGTAGTAGTAGTAGCAGCAGCAGTAGTAGCTGCAGCAGTAGCAACATCAGTAGTAGTAGTGGTAGCAGCGATGGTGATAGTGGAAGAAGAAAACAATAATGAAGAAGAAGAGTGAGATGATGAGAAGGAAGAAGAAGAGGACAGGACGGGATGATGGTGATGAAATGGAAGCTAAGAATGTTGAAGGAGAAAAGCAAAAGCAAAACATCACTTTGTTTGAAATATTATCATGAGAATATGCAACCAAAAGGCCAGGAACTAAAAAAATGAAGAAAAAAATTAAAGGAATTAAAAGAAGATTAAGGAAACGAATACGAAAAAGATGAACATCCATCAATCTGCTGCTACAGCAGCAACAGTAAGTTAATTAAAAATCCCGCCTTTCCCACCATTTTGCACTTTAAATCGACCCATATCACGTGCTCTGTGGCTCACCGTTTGAGATCAAAGAATCTATCTTGATGCTGTGTTGATTCTAACTCCGAGTGACATCACAGACATATGCAAACAGCTTCTACAATCAAAAATCTTGGATTATCTCCCCTTAACCAACACAGTGCCCCCTGTCCATTTGCGTCCACTTGTATACGACATGTCGGCTCTGTGGCTAAGTCGATGCGAACGCTTCGTAATTCCGGGATGCCGGGTTGATCCCAGCTGCGGGCCATGCGCCTTGCGTTAGTTTCGACAGTGGTATCAAGAAAGCCGACCGCCCAGGAGGCATGGCAAAATACTGGACGTAAATTTGCCTAAAAAAACCACACAACAGCCAAGGGCTTTTGGGGTTGGTTCTGCAACGTCCTGTAAAGGATACGCAACTAACCGTATACGCCATTGAAACAAAACCCAACAGATACTTTCAGTAATACAAGACAGGTGTCCAGTACGGCAGTTGTTTTAAAAGCTCAGTCTAAATATCGGAAAATGCCGGTGTTCTATTATTGATATAAGCCTTGACCATTATTACAACAGAGCTGGAGTTTTTTCTCTGAGTTCTTGCTCGTTTGACTGCGTCTGTTATCCTTTAAATTTACCAGACTCCAAATAGAGTTTTAGCCCCAGTACCGTTAAAACATGTTATACTTAGGCTTATGCTTGTTGGTAAATCTGTATTTGATATTTAGGAAATTGTCAGTTACTCCCCGTCTGGCTTCATGGGTCCCATTTTGAGAAAGAAATACTAGACTCACTGTCCACAACAAAGCGTGTCCTAAAAGGCAACTAATTAGGAGTTTCCTGACATTCGATGTATATGGCTAACGGCCACTGATATAGAAGCCCAACACAAAAAGTCTAAATCGCCTTAAGGGCGAAGGCAAGAGAAAAAGAGGAGAGGGAGAAAAGGAGGAGGATGATAAATAATAATAATAATAATAATAATAATAATAATAATAATAATAATAAGAAGAAGAAGAAGAAGAAGAAGAAGAAGAAGAAGAAGAAGAAGAAGAAGAAGAGGAAGATTTGCATGGTAGATAATCATCATCATGTAGCAGGTCCTTTGCAGAACGTCGTCTCATCACAGTTTGCCTGAAAGAAACTCGGTCTCTCGCCAGTTCTCCCGCCTCATGTACTTTCATACTCAAAGAGTCACTTATATCCTGTGCCCATCTTCGTGTCGGTCGGTCCCTGCCTCTCCTTCCTGGTACCATGCCTTCTGCTATAATTTTTCCAATCCGTCGTGGCGCTTGATATGACCTAAAATTTCCGCTTCCAAGACAGGATGCTGTTTATTAGCCAATCTTCCTTGATGTTCAGATCTTTCAAAATGTCAGTATTTCTCATCTTGCTTGTCCAAGAATCTTTCAATAGGATTTCAGCTCAAAAGCCCCTATTCTCTTTCTTAAGGACTAGGAGATAGTCCACGACTCAGATCCGTATGTTGCTACAGGGAAGATGCATGCTCTCAAAATTCTAATTTTGATTTCCTTGCTGGTGCTAAACCATAGACTTTAAAGGCTGTTGAGTATTGTATGTTACAGGTGGTTTATTTATTGGATTATCTGAGCACCTTTATGAAGCGGTATGTCTGTGCACATAGCTGGTTCTGTGGTGATATTTAACACAGATAGTTGGAGTTCATCACAGAGCACAATAGACATTGCTCTAACAATACAATTTTAAGCCTAACGTCACAACATTAGTCGGGAGAATCTGATAAGACAGGCACTAGAATATAAATGTTGCCCGTGTTACTTGTATTTATTTATGTTAGTTAGTTAGTTAGTTAGTTACTTAGTTAGTTAGTTAGTTACTTGGGTTATCCTCATTGCACCCCGGACATTTCCATAGGTGATCAGATCCTCCCCTCAGTATGAACCCCAACGTCCGATGGCTAATAGTACCAGTTCTATGTTGATTAACAAGTCTTCTGGCGTGTCTGGTGTGCGTCTTTTTTTTTTTTTTTTTGCTGTGCCGATCTTAATTCCCAAGTTTGCCATTCTGGCGAGTGATGTGGATTCACTGCCACCAAAGTCCTCTATTCTTCCCATTTCTCTGAGGGCATTGATAATATCAGCATGATCCATAGGCTGACCGTCAGTAGTGATAGCGGATCCAGCCAACCTGTCAGCTCTTTCATTTCCATCGACGCCTGCGGGTCCCGGAACAAAAATAAAGGTGACTCCACGCACAATGATTCAAGCCATTGTCTTCGCACTGAACCTGCCTGAACCCTCCGGATCATACTCATTGAATCACTGAGTATACTTATACTTACACTGAGTATATTTATATTCATTTATGTATTATTATGTAATGATTTCATTGATGAGTTTTCCTGACTTAGCAGCTGCTGAAGACTAGTCGAATCATTCGGTTGCTTTATACGGTTCACAAAGTCACTAACGCATACTCTCTACAGAAGATCAAAACGGGGCATATGCGCCAACAGTTGCTCCATCTGATACAGCATGCAGCGTTTGGCAAAATCACCTTCATTATTGTCCCATGACATCGATGTGCGAGGAAAATGATCTTTTAATGAAGAATGAAAAATTAACAGAGTGAACATCTACTATTTACATTATATTGGCATTGATAATGATACTCCATTGGGATTATCATTCCATTGGCATTGACATTAATAGTATATAATATTCCAATGTCATTGACAATTCATTGCCTTTAACATTACATAAATATTAATGTTCCATTGACAGTAATATTCCAGTGACATTAATATTCCATTGACAGTCCATTTTGTACTGATATACCATCTCTGGACAACTGACGCCTGCCTTATGCATCCACAGATTCTGGAAGACTGGAAGTACGTGGCTCGCGTCCTCGACAGATTGTTCTTGTTTATATTTCTGTTCGTGACCCTGTGCGGCACTGCCAGCATCCTGCTGAACGCCCCTCATATCCTGGAGTTTGTTGATCAAGACAAGATCATCCAGGACCTCGTGGAGTACATCCGGGAGGCAGAGAAGAGGGCGGAAACCGTGGGCGTGGAGAATCACGTTGGCGACTAGAATGTGATCATTTTTGTGCGGAAGAGCGTCAGATTTTGTCAGAGTTTACAGTGCATATTTAAGAACTGTAAGTTTTTGTTTAAACATGTTTCCTGCCTAGGTTCCCCTGCTCCATTTTGGAGGGCAAAGAATAGACCAACTGCTCGCTAACAAGCGTGCTGTAGGAGAACGAAGTTGTATGGGTTTTTCCTTTAAAATCGGAGTGAATCTTCCCGACAGGCAAGGAACCAACAGTAAGCCAGCCTTCCATCTCTACTCCAATTTGTAGGGCAGGAAGAGAAGATGTTCCCTTTCTTCTTTTTTTTTCCCTCTCTACTCCTGGAATGCCTCGCAGCGTCAGGGCAGGAAGAGATCAGTGGAACCGGCCCTTTTGTTCCCTTCCTATTTAGCACTTTTCAGTGTCTCCGATATTTTCGTGGTCCATCATTTTGCATGGTCGAACCTGTGGCTCTGTTACTATTCTACTGTATACATTTTGCTCTCTGAGGGTGCCATGTCTGTTGCAAGTCTCGTTAACGTACACAAACCATAATACTTTCCCCCCATCACCATCTCTTGAAAATAATAGTTTTCGGCCCGTCTGTTATTGGCAGGACTCATAAATCTACCTTTATTATATATTTTCTTCCTTACATATTATATTACATTTATTTTATCTTTTATAGTAATGAAGTTAGTTGCGTATCCTTTATATGACGTTGCTGAACCAAATCCAGCAGTTATTTTTGTGTGTGGGTGTTTTGGTTTTTTTTTTATACAAATGTTCATTCAGGGTTCAGTTGGCATCTGTGGCTTAGGCGTTGCGAACGCGCGTCGTAATGCTGGGGTGCCGGTGTCTTGCGTTGGTTCCGACACAGTACCAAGAGCTGACCGTTTAGAAAAAATACTAAAGGTAAAATTTGCTTAGAAAAACCACAACAGTTAAAATATGTTGGGGTTAGTTCTGCAATGTCCTGTAAAGAATACGCAATTAACTATAACGTTTAGTAGTTTGCCATGCAACTAAATGGTCGGCTCACGACACAACTGTTGAAACAAATGCAAGGCGGTATGCTGTCATTTCGCCTGCAGCTGGGATCGACCCCAGCACGCAGGCATTAGGCAGTAATCTCTTATACGTGGTAATTTGTTTCCCTTTCTGACATGTTAGTTGTCCAGTAGTTATTCAGTGTGTTCAACGTGCAGGCTACACAATTACATCCGACAGAACATGAGACGCAGATAGGAAAATAAAAACAATCAGCGTATCCAAAATGTTCTCTTACAAACATAAGTAACGTGGTAAGAAGGATACATATGACGTCAATGCAAGAATGAGAATCTTGGCTCGGAGATGGGGGGGGGGGGGGCTGTAGGGGGGGGGGGGGGGGGAGTTAGAGTAATATATTATAAAAACACAAGAACTGAAACCGAAAAAGATGCCCCGTCTGAAAAACTGTGGTATGTATGGTAAATAGACAGACAGGCGAGGGGAACACAACAGGAAAAAAAAATAGCAACAACAAAGCCTGCCTTCAAGAAATATGCACAAGCTAATGACAACTGGCAAACATGATACAAGAAGAGTAGGGGGAAGACAAAAATAGATTTAGCTCGTGATATGTGCAGACTGAATGGACAGGACAAGAACACAGACCTGACAACTGGTTCGGGTGATGTACCACGAAGACCTGACGCCTAAATTCACAACAGGGCTAGAATAGAAAAATAAAGAATTAAAAGGATGATGATGATGAGGAGGAGAAAAAGAAGAAGAAGAAGAAGAAGAAGAAGAAAAAGAAGAAGAAGAAGAAGAAGAAGAAGAAGAAGAAGAAGAAGAAGAAGAAGAAGAAGAAGACATAATACATGAAGATAGTGAGATTCACAATATGCCAAATAGGCTTCAAGCCACTGAGAGGAAGGAATCCTTTGCTTCTTTTCTTACGGTTTGTAGCTATGACGTAATTTGGATCTGAAACTTTTACACTTTACAATTTAAGTATATTAATTAATGATTTGGGTTATCTTTACGGCACTCCGGACACGTCCATAGGTGCTCAGATTCCTCATTCAACATATACATCTGCCTCGCACGGTTGATACTCCCAATCCTATGTTGGTTGACAAGACTTCTCGTGCGTCTAGTGTGCTTCTCGTGCCTTGCTGTGCCGATCTTTATACTAAACTCTTGCACTCTTAGCAAAGATGTGGAACTCTAAGTATATTTTCGCTTTTTTTCTTCAGTTGAATATATTTGCTGCAGATGTCCAACAGGGAAAACTAAATATATACACATTACTAGCTGCATACCTTTTAAAACGATAAACTCAAAGCAGATATAGCCATTGAGAAGGCAAGATTTCATAATTAATATATATAGTGACAAAACATTATAGAACGGTGGTAATTCACACGAACAGTGTCGACACAGATAATTTGTTTCTCGGGAATATTACAGGCTGCTGTCGTTCGTCCATCACAAGTGATGAGGATCACTCTTTCTTTCATTCTACTTATGCGATACATTCTTGCACTGCCTACTATTAAAGATAGGCTCAACGTACTTCAAGAAAAGTCATATCTCAGAGTAGCTGCAGACAAGAGACAACTTCTGCATGAAACCCTGGATAGAACAAAGGGTCACAGACTGACAAGAGGAAAGTCTTGAGAATCAGCTTTACACAAATGCTGTCATTGTAACTGACTCACAGAGCATGTTGAGAAAGGTGGAGACAGGCATGCTCCGTGCAGAGTGGCAAGCATCACTTCAAAGGTCCTGGGTAGTTAGCGTCCTTTTGATATTCTCTCCAGGTTATAGGGGTGTGTTGGGAAAAAAGCAGACAGATAGAATGGCTGCTTCTGCATCACTTGGTGGTGAACTGATGTATGACAAGCTGGATGTTGTGAGGGCCCTTTGGTAGCGAGTGAACAGTGCCGAGGAACAGATAGATCATTAAGGTCTGACGAGAATAGCACTGCGAGGAGTTACAAGGAGATCTGGCCGACGCTCGACTCTCAGGAGAAAGGCGAGACGGATATAAAATCTGACAGTTACTGGTACCATGGGAGTTTTAACTCTTAGCCTGCTGTTGCAGATGGGGACGGAGCTATTATGGGGGTATCCCGAGTGCTGTGTTGTCGATTCTTAATTCAACATTCAACATGTTATTCGTCTTGAAAATATAGTTGAGTGATGAATGATTGAATCATGCGATGAACTGGTTTAAAGTCAAGAAGCGTTGCACAATATTGTCCACCTCTGTTTCCCGTCCGTGTCCATCTGGTTCCAGTGACAAGAAAATTCGAGACTCGAGACGAGTGGAGATGGAGTCAGGTGCAGTGAATGACCGTGTGTTCTACGTGCCTCCCCGTGCTTTTTACTTTTCGCATCAGCCATCAGGTCCGTTGATTTTCTCCGCACATTCAACCGAGTCCCAGTCTTTGCATTCTTGGATAGGCGGATCCTGATTCACCAAAGGCTGCTAACCATTCGACTGCCCTCACCTGGTTTAGCCGGTCTGTCAAAGCCGTTGCCTGAGATGTGGCCGCAGCCGCATGATGTCAGCTTCTAGGAGCCACACATGAGAGCTGGCAGCTTCTAGGAGCCACATATGAGAGCTGGCAGCTTCTAGGAGCCACAGATGAGAGCTGACAGCTTCTAGGAGCCACAGATGAGAGCTGACAGCTTCTAGGAGCCACAGATGAGAGCTAACAGCTTCTAGGAGCCACAGATGAGAGCTGACAGCTTCTAGGAGCCACACATGAGAGCTGGCAGCTTCTAGGAGCCACACATGAGAGCTGGCAGCTTCTAGGAGCCACATATGAGAGCTGGCACCTTCTAGGAGCCACACATGAGAGCTGGCAGCTTCTAGGAGCCACAGGTGAGAGCTGGCAGCTTCTAGGAGCCACACATGAGAGCTGACAGCTTCTAGGAGCCACAGATGAAAGCTGACAGCTTATAGGAGCCACAGGTGAGAGCTGGCACCTTCTAGGAGCCACAGAAGAAAACTGCTAGCTGCTAGGAGCCACATATGAGAGCCGACAGCTTCTAGGAGCCAGGGTGAGCGCTGACAGCTTTTAGGAGCCAGGGCGAGCGCTGGCAGCTTTTAGGAGCCAGGGTGAGCGCTGACAGCTTCTAGGAGCCAGAGGTGAGAGCTGGCTGCCAAGCTTGGACAACAGGCAAGCGAGTTTTTCTTAAAGGACAAATGTTACAGACACACTTTCGAAACAGTCGCGCATCAAGCATATCATGTTAGAACTAATATTTCTAGACACAATCAGTCGTCAGTAGACGAAGCGGAAGATATCCCACAAGCCGTGTACACCTTCCGCAGGATTCTAGACTGGATCGGTGTGGAACCCAGGCCATTTATCAAGAACAAAATATTGAACATCCTTCTGTGGTAGAAAGAGTTTGTGTTACTAGTTTGTTAGTGACTGACCTTCCCCAAATGTTATCTGTATCCTTGATGTTATAGCTAGTGGGCTTAGGAATGGGTGAATGGGTTTTACATATTGAATAATATTGATTCATAATAAAATGTGATTACAATGTTTGTTTCGTATACAGTAGTGACTTAACGCATGTGGGTAAAATCAAGCGTGTGAACGCAGATGCATTGTGTGTACGCGTGAGTGTGTGTTTGAGGGAGTGTGTGTTTGATTTTGCATACTTATGAAGGCAGTGTAAGATGTAGAAGTACTGCGGCTAGTCGCTTGTCTTAAGCCCCGAAAGTTAAGGGTTCGAATCCGCATCTGGACTATTATTTGAAACAAATTAGCATAGCTGTCATGTTTACCCAGACTAAAATAGGTGCAAAGAAAATGTCCATCGAAGTAAAGTTGATAGGCGTGAAGTTAAACTCATCATTTATTGAAAGGCTTCTTCTTCTTCTTCTTCTTATTCTTCTTTTTCTTCTTCTTCTTCTCTTCCCTTCTTCCTGTTCTTCTTTTCTTTCTTTCTTTCTTTCTTACTTTTTTTCTTTTTTTCTTTCTTTCTTTCTTTCTTTCTTTCTTTCTTT